AGCGTGATCACAGCACACCTGGGTTTTCCCAGGTCTCTTACTACTCCAAGACTAGATGGGGTGTCTCAAGGAGAAGCTGGAGGAATGGGGTGAGGTAGTTCATGGACACTTGAGAAGCAAATGACATGATGATACCTGACCCTTCAGGCTTTCCAAATCTGTGAATCGGGAAGGAAAGCAGGCTGGCACAGTGCTAGAATGCAGGGGAGGAAGAGACCTGGGCACTTGACAGGGGCTTCAAAGCACATGGGACCGCGGATGGAGCTGCAGGAAGCAGAGCTGTCTGTGGGCGTGATGGTTGGTTTGGGACACGAATGTGCTCATCCACGGAGCGAGAGTGTAAAATCCCACTGCCAGTCCTGTGGCATCGACTGCAGTGTCAGAGAACAGCAGGACTTAAAATAGACCTCAATACAGGGTCTAGGTTAAAAGCACTTCTTTGATTTTTTGCAACATTTTTATACTTTCCAAAACACACTAAAAAAAGTGAGTTGATTTTATTTTTCAGCGCTGTCTTAAATGTAACTATTATTTTCCTCCTGGGAATATTCTTTTTTAAAGACAACACTTCAAAACATGTCCCCATGGGGAAATTCCACTTAGGTTATTATTACTTCCACTGTCTCCTCACATCTGGTTGTTTTGGCTGGCCGGGTCTATAAATCCTGAGCACACTTAATACAAACTTAGAGTGGAGGGGGAAAGGAGATAAAAAGGAAAGAGAATAGAATAGACACTACCTGTCTCCAGCTGCTGGTGCTGTGATGATCAGAGGTAAGCTGGAAGTAGAGGTTCTAGCCTGACGGTATCCATCCCATCCCCATAAGAGAGAAGGAGAACAAAGATTGCAAAAGATAAATACACGAGTAAATAAATAAAGCCCAGACACATTGCCAAATTGCACGAGGGTACGACACAGGAGGACGTAGGTGGCCTTGAAGATGTTGGTAATAGCAAAGGGACTGGAGTTGGTAGCACAAAGAGAAAAGGAAAAAGGCACATGGGACCTAAAAATCAATACTTTCTTAGCTGTAAATTTGAGCCTCTGATTATAAGCAGCAGCACAGAGGAAAGACTCGGGATCACCAGTGAATCATAAGCACCTACTGAGGCATCGAGGAGAAGACACACACAGTTCAGGAGATATTTCTATAACGCTATAGGTATGCGTCGCTGCTGCTGTGTGAGATGCTGATAAGACTTCAACTGTGGAAGAGAACTGTGCTCATTTCTAGCCAAAACAGCTTAATGTGTAGTGCAAGTAAGAGCTTGTAGGATAGCCTACAAGCCATGGAGAGCTTACAGTGCATGAGGAGGCTGGTTTGGTTAGTTAAGCAAAGTGAAGTCTATACTCAAGGGAAATAAATGCCGGGGAGGAAGAATGGCTTCAGCTAAAGCCGCGCTGGCACAGGCACAAGCGAATATAAACTAGCTGGGAATCCATCTACGCTGGAAATTAGAAAAACTTTCTAACCACTATGGCAATCAGCTTATGGGGCAGCCTGCCAAGGGGACTAGTGGGGACAATAAAATTAACCAGTTTTTGGTTGGCACTTGATAAGATTTCACAAGGGTTAATGACATGGTACCAGTAAGAGATCACACTCAGCCACCAGGACCCTCCTCACCTCTGCTCCTGCCAAACAACTTATCCATCTTCCCACATCCCGAAGCCAGTGTGAAATGCTTCAGAGGAGGCAGATGCAGGAAAACCTGCAGGTGACAGGGCAAAGCCTCCCCAGAAACATTTTTTCCTGATCTGAAGGAGCTGGGGCTTCACTCATGTCTCAGAGCAGGAGGGTGTAGAGCTGCTTTTAACACATGCACAAGAGGTACAGTGATTCTGGATGTTCTTGTTACCTGGGCAAGGGTCACGGCTCTCGAATCCAGCTGACATTTCAGTATCTATTGAATTCATCGCAACATGAATATAATTGCACATCACACAAAGAGTTTTTGCAAATGAACTCCTTTCCCTGACAGTGGCAGAGGCTGCCACCAGCAGAGCAGGCAGACAAAAACCCAGCCCAATTCCAGACTGCACCGGCAGGGATGCTCCCGGAAAACTGGAGCAGCCCTGAGGAGAAACACCCAAAAGGTGGGTGGCTGAAGAACCAGTAGAGAAAGCAGGTGGGGCTTTTTCTGAGTATTGCAGCTAAGCAGTGACTAGTACTAGGAAAAGGGATGAGGAAAGAAGAGCCCTGCAGGTGGGAACACAGACAGACACCTGTGGAGAGGTTGGCAGATGGGAAAAGGGGTCACAGAAAGAAAATGAGCAGTTATTCCAGCACATGAAAAGGAAAGAAGATTTCAGAGATCTGAGAGATGAATTTGCCACTGCCGACATGGACCATGGGATTCTTCTCCTCTACCTTGCTCTGCGCTGTTGTTCTGCAGAGCCAGGGCCTCATCCCAGGGGGCTGTTCCAGCCATGGCACCACACTCAGTGGCTGCTGTTTGCAAGGAGTCACAGCCCCATGGGGACCAGACCAGGACTCCCATCCAGCTGTCCCCATTCACCCAACAGACTAGGCTGGCAAGCACCCACCTTCCACAAAAGGTCTTTAGCTCATTTGGGGAACAGGGGCAAGGGCAGCCTCAGTAACCTCAGTAAACAAAATGTTGGCTCCCTTTGAGGGAAGCCCTGCTGAGGGCCATTAAGCACAAAGACCACCTCTGTCTCCAAAGGTCCCTCAGCACAAACCACTGGGGGATGGGGAGAACCTCGGACAAATCTTGCAGGGCGCTTGCCCAGCTGTCACCTTCTCCCCAGGTACAGACAGGCACCGTGGCGGATGCTGTGCTGCTGGCTGCGTGGTGTCTGACACCTCCATCGCCTTCAAAGAGGAGAGCAGCAAGCTCCTCAGAAGAAACTGTGCCTCCAGCAATGTCATGAGAATTACCATCACTAACCCCAGTTCCTAACAAGACGCTGTGGTTACCTGTTGGCATAGGGTGGGTGGAGGCAGCTGGCACAAGTCACAGATGGGCACCTGCCCTACCTCCTCCCTTTTCTGATTCCAGATGTGAAAGCTCCACGTATAATACCCAAAAAGAGGTTGCAATGAATCACTGCACAGGAGTCATTACGCTTTCCGTGCCAGGGCTGGCAGATCTCCTGCTCCTGGAGCCAGGATGAACACTTCTCCATACACTCTTCTGCAATCCCCTAAGTCTCATTCCTCTGCCAGGGCTTATGTGTTGTGTTGCCAGGTATTTCTGTTCTGTTCTACTCAGGATCTGTTTTCTCCATCTTTTCTCTGGGAGAAAACGGTTAAAAATACAAAGACATTTAAAATTAAAATTAAACCTATAATAATAATAATGCTCAGTACTTATCTCACTCTTGCCATCTTCAAAGCGATTCACAAATGTTAACTAATTAATTAATCTTCACATTCTCTCTGACTGAAATTCAGAGTCATGGCTGAAGCGAACAGGAAAATAAAAAGCGTGGTTTTCAGGTGAAGGGCAAAGGGAAACCTGTGTTCCTGCCCGCTGTCTGCCATCCGGCAAGGCAATTGCAGCAGTATTTCTATTCTGCGCTGCATACCTCTCATATGAAAGGTCTGAAGTAATTTTACTTGCTACCTTCTGCTTCCTTTTTCTTAACAGAGGTCTTAAAAGGTGCTCCCTTTTGAAAGTAAACAAAATGGAAGACTTCCAGAGCTGTGCAGATGCCCCTTGAGCAAATACATTTAAGCCCAAACTCCTCGGAAAACCACAGCACAACCAGCCTCAAGGAAATAAGGAAAGGAGAAAGGGGAGCAAGGCAAATGCCACTTCTGGAGAGTTGAGGTGAGCTTTGGAGAGAGGGCAAGGCGGATGCCACAAAACGTATCTATGGCAGAAGCACGCAGGCAGACTCACGCTGTGATTTCGCTGTGAGGATCTGAGCCCAGGGCTTCAGCACAGCCTGGGGCTGGTGTGGGGAACCCCCCAGAATCCCATATTGGTCCACTCTTTGGTTGCTGTCACCTGTGCATGGGGTTTTTTTGCTCACAGGAGCGATGCCACACCAGAGCTCTCTGTGCTGGCTGGGGGATGCTCCCAGCTCCGTTCCCAGGATCTGCAGCCTGGATTTAAAGCTGTGGATTCAGGGTATTGAAAAAGACCCTTTGTGCCTAAAGAGAGCAAAGCCCAACAGGTCAGAGAGGAGCACTAGAAGACCTCAGCCAGCAACCGCAATCACCCTGGGACAGCTCTGCACAGGTTTTATGAGTTCATGGGTTCAGGTGACAGGGAGACACAGACAAAGACCAGGGTTTTCTCTTGTTGGATCAATTTTCCGGTGGTTTGCTCTCACACAGATGCCTGGGTTCAGGGAATCAAAATTTAGCATTGGCAGGATGAAAAGAGGCAGAACCGAGTGGGGGTGGGAGTCATGGTGTCAATTTACATTTACATCAGCGCACACCCCCGTGGAACAGCAGTGCAACACTCGCAGCCGTCTGACTCGGCTTCAGCCTCGACGATGCATCCCATGAAGAATCTGATGGCTTTTTTTTCTGGCCACAGCACAGGAGTCGATTTCATTGAAAAGATCTTTCTTGACGAGACGCCAGCATCACCCAGGAATGGCTTAAGCAGCACCCAGACCATGACAACTCACCCAGATGGACATTAGCCCTGGCACCTTCAACTCGCTCTTCCCATTTTGTCCAGGAGCTCCGGGCACCTAGCACTGACACTTTCTCCTCAGCCTCTGCACCCTCCTCTGAAGCTACCCGAAAAGCGCCTCTTTTGAATGTTCCAGATGCAAATCAATCACACAAGAAAGTCGTTAAATAAGATTTACAATTCATGCCTGCTTTATGGATTCCCATCCCAGCTCTACTGCGGCACTGCCCTTTGGAAAAGGAAGCCAGTATTTTGAGGATACGTTCCAGCCAGAAACGGGACACAGGCCCTCAATATCGCAACTTATTTCAGAACATCCATAATCACTATAGCAGACAAAGAGCACAAGAGCACCGTAAGAGCACCAGCTTGTATAGATATGTCCATAGATCTGCATTTTTATTGTTTTATATATATTTATAATATATTTATATATTTTTTAAAGATTCCCTTCAAAAACTACCCTCCCACCTAGCAAAACAAAGGTTAAACAATCAAAGATGGCAGCTGCATCCTGGAGCAAAATATCCCAGGGGTCTCCTAGAGCCAGAACGGTTGCCGAGCACCTGCGCGCTCTTCCCGCGCTCCTGTGGCGCCCTGCGGGTGCAAAGGTGACTGACACAGCTTTATGGCTCTCTGAACCGACCTGTCACAAGACAGGGAGAGAGAAAGAAAAACACGTGGCCGTGGTGATGGGGGCTTGAGGGGTAGGGGAAACAGCAACGCGTACAACTGGGAGCTTAGAGTGTGAAAGGCTGTGATGGAAAGGAGGGAGGTGTTGCCTGAAACGTCAGTAAAGAAGACAGGAAGGAGAAGGAACATGCAGGAGAATTTGTTGGCAAGATGGATCTCGGAGAAGAGCTCAGAAGCACCACACTTGGGACCCCTGCTACCCTTCCATCCCCCAGATCTCTTCCTCTCACCCTCCCAGTTGTGAAGGGGGATCCTACTAGTTTGATTTAGACCAAATTTTCGCGCTGCCCCGGAGCCTGTGGAAAGAGAAGAAAATAAAAACTCAGAAATAAAATTCAGAGTGGGCGCTAAGGCTCATATCC